ATTTATACAATTAATCCCCTTGTTCACGCCACTGTATATTAGCGCCGCAGAAGATTGAAGTGCGGAAAGCAGTTTCAAGTGGGTTGTTCACTCTGTAGATGCGGCGGCGCGGGTTTCCTCTTGTATGTAAAGCAGGAAATCGTCGGTGAGGCATTCGGGACGGTAGAGTAAAAAAGGATTCTCCGGCGTAAATCCGCTACCCATGGCATTTATAGAAAGTCTCCTATACGCGTTAACTACGCCAGGAACGCTAAATAACCTACGGTTTCGTGACTCTACAAGATTCTGTAAAATCGTTTGAACGTTTTTAGAATTTCCTACACCGATGAGTCCATTGGACGAGCACCGGTAGTGGGAAAACGTCGGTATTTTGAAAACAATTCAAACATAAATAAGTTGTCTGCAGGTTTTCGGTCCAGGGAATGCGAGATACACGCTGCCGCTTGTTGCTACACGTAAACGCTAGTCTCTGGATTGTATATATGGAAATTCAATTAGTACGGGAGATTGCTGGGAATTTTTAATTTTCAACCTCGCGCAGAAATTAATAAGATACACCAAAACGCACCAAAAGAGTTACACAAAACTAACGAAAGAAAATAGTGTTGCTTCATTTAAACATGACGTAACGATTTTTACAATAATTATAACTTTAATATCCACAAACGCCTTTCGTGCTATATTTTTAGGCAATAGAAAACAACCCGTGATATAAAAAATAATTTAAAACCAAATAAAATCATTTAATTTCCAGTTGCCTATTGGCCCTTGTGTGACCAAGTTTACAACGTAATAAAATCTGATAGAAAAACGTCATAATTATAGTCTTTCCGAAATCAGTTGAACATGTATAAAAACGCCTAGCAATAAAATCTAATGAGTTTCATAGGCGCCCCTAAGAATAATTAATAGAAGGTGCCTATAATAAATTTAAATTATCTGAATCACACCAAATTCCGCATTGCTGCACTGCACTGCCAGACAATTTGTGAACAACTGAAATTTATGGTTGGTCGCCCAGTGCGGCTGTGTTTGTGCGCCGTTTGCCAGCCCGCGCATTCTTCAACTGGGCGACTAGACCAGTATATGGGTATGGCTAAATAAATGTGGACAAGTTTTTCAAATATTTCAATGCCCAGTTGCGACCGAACCTGGTACATACTGCCTAGCTCTTTGGGGTTCAATTGATATCGGAAAGACTATACCTATGTTTTCAATCAACAGCAGACGTAATTTTGCAATTTATTGTCTGTACTTTTCATGCGACATAATATGTTATCCGTAGTATTTTTGCCTCCTGATCACGAATACGGTGTCAGAATTGAGCTATCACATCACAGGAATTTCCTAACCTCAAAAAACTGGCCAAAAATAATAAAAATTCACGAAAGAGTGCTATGAAAAATTCCAAAATTTTTTTTTAATATTCAAATGTTCATTTATATGGTTAAGACTCCGCCGAACGTGAATCCGCGGTCAGAATTGATGGTTCTTTTTCTAACCTCAAAAAACGGGTCAATTAAGGTCAGATATCACGAATTTTCAAAAAATAATAAATTTTGTATACGGGGGTTTTCGGGGTCGCTGATCACGGATCCGAGGTCAATTTTGCAAAATTCAAGATGGCGCATCCATTATGGCCGACGAAATTTTCAAAAAATAACGCAACACGATAACAAAAAATATTATCCGAATATTTTTAAATTCTGCTCTGGATGGGACAGATAAATAACAGAAGTTAGCTCAGGTGGTGGTTTCGAAAACTGTATTTTTACTGTATAATTCGTAAAATAAATACTCGAAATCACAGGGGCGAACAATAACCATATTTAACTCTGCATGTAATCGCATTTACCTTTACCCCACTGCCAAACTCACAGCACGGCCTATTTTCAGCTAAGAAATATTTACTCAGCGGATTATTGTATTGATCTTTAAACTGAGTCGCTCTCTGAACCCCTCCAATGCAATTTTTGCAATAACAAATTAGTTTTACGGATATCTCTTAGCATACAGGGTGTTACACTTCTCACAATTGCTATTTCATCCGTTTTACTTGTAAAGGCTAAAACTAAACTCTGTATAGGGATTTGTGTAATGTGGATATGGGTTGGTTATGATTTTCATCTGTTTTTGCACGTCTGCAGCCCGCTTTGGCTTTCGCAAAATCATTTCCAGCGGTTGAGCACCACAGTGCACACACCGTTTGTGCAATATTGTTGCTTGATGAATGTGCATCCCACTAAAAGTTATTGCGATGAAATCTGGATTATTAAAATCGGAACGCCGACGTCAGATTAAACGCTTCAGATTAGTTGATGTTAAAGTCAAAGTATTTTATACCATTTAATGTACGGGGTGTATTTTCACGAAGTGCCTCAATTGTATTCAGAGATAAAGGAATTAAATCGATTTCTATCAAAATTATATCCGGAATGGCATAATTACCTTTTCTTTTTGTTATCGGCGTGTTTTTGCGCCCACCCCGTATATTCCGGAGTATGGGATTTGAGTAATAGTGCACTAAGGATACAGGAAGACGCGGGAATGGTAAATGACGATGTTGAGAATGAGATACGTGGAAATAAATAGCAGGTAGATAATCGATTTAAAAACCACGAAATCCATCGTCTTGAGTAGTTGATGTAAATTTCACATTGCACTGGAAGTTTTGTACAATTATACAAATGAATGTATTGAATTTGAATATAAATTGTATTGAAACGTTGAGTTCGGAGTTTGGTATTGTATTGTGTGTAAATTTTGACTATTAATAACGTGTAGTGGAGTATCAATATGTCCAATCGAATAAGTACGTATCTACATAATTCATGTATTTAAATATCGGACTGGTCTGGTTATTACCTTATCATCCAGGCATCGTTCTCGGTTAGTACAGTCACATTAAGATTTTTCCGCAAAAAACCGTCAATTCGTTCAGTCATTGGAAATAAAATGATTAGGTACCACGAATGAACCGGAAAATATTAACAATATTGTAATCATTTGCTTATGTATTGCACAGGACGATTAATTTGCTGATGTAGTGCAAACTGATTAGATAAATTTGTCAAAAATGTTTATGTGAATCGTAAAATTACAATCCCCAGTATATAATTGTAAATGAAAAATTACATTATAATTACAAAGTCACAACAAGTGTCAATGTAAATTACAGTGAAATTACATTAAACTTACATTCACTAAACAAATTCTCATAACTCATCACACCAATTTATAATTGTAAATGAAAAATTACATTATAATTACGAAGTCACGACAAATGTCAATGTAAATTACAGTGAAGTTACAGTAAACTTACATTCACTGAACAGATTCTCATAACTCAATATCTATATGCCCTAGAATCCCAATTTAATTGTGAAATTACAGTTTCAATGTAAAATTACATTATGCATATAACACATATCAGACGACAATGCATGAAACCTCAATCGTAAAAAAACATGGACTAAGCTGTAGCAGCTCCATTGGGATTGTAGATGATGCAATGTATAAACTCACAGCAGTGTAAAATTACAACAAATTGCATTAAACTTACAGAAGCTTGTATATTCTCTTTCAATTTTCATATTAATTCAATGTGTATGTGATTTAATTAAGTGAAATGTGAATTTACAGTATTATTGTAAAATTACAGTAACAGCAAATCTGTATTAGGCAACCGTGAATTAAATCACAACTGTACTTTAGTGAAACCACAATTGCGATTATAGGTGACATAATTACAAAACCACAAGCTACTGTAAAATTACAATAAATTGCGTCACACTTATAGATGAATGTACGAGTATATCCCCTCTAAATTTGCATTTAAATTCAATATGTATGTAATTTAATTGAGTGGATTGGGAATTCATGTTTTATTGTAAAATTACAGTAACATCGAATAAGTATTAGGTAATCGTGAATTAAATCACAATATTACGTAATAATTAGTATAACGTAGTATAAGAAATTACATCAAACTTACAGTAAAGTGTATATCCTCTAAATTCTCATTGAATTCAATATTTATGTAATTTAATAATGTAACTGTGAACTTAGTTTTATTGTAAAATTACACTAACAAAATTACAGTAATAGGCAACCACGTGTTACCACAACTGTACTGTAGCAAAACCTCAATTGTGATTGTAGGTGGTGCAACATTACATTATAATTACAGAATCACAGCAACTGTCAGTGTAAAATTACATCAAACTTACAGAAGCATCTATACCCTCTCCAAATTTTCATTTTAATTTAATATGCATGTACTTTAATTAAGTAAACTGGGTATTTACAGTTTTATTGTCAACTTACAGTAACAATGAATATATTAGGCAACTGTAATTGTAGGTGGCGCAATATTACATTATAATTAATGAGCTAGGCTGAATTCTTGTCAGTATTCCAATGTTCCATAACCATTTTTCTCATCCGCCCACCCGGGATCACTCTGTACATCTGCATATAACGCATGAGAAAAGACTGTACTAACGGAGAGCATAGGATTTCTTTCTTGCATCTGCCGACTGTCCAACTGTCACCGTTCAAATGGCGAGCGGACTTTTCCGACTGGCCGACGGCTCGATTTATTTGCATGGAGCATCGCTCATCTGCCTTTTGACATCAGAGTACGTCCATGTGTATTCGCGTCGGGGTTTTTATTTTCTATTTTATTATTCGATTTACAGCTTTCTCCATTGAATCCCTCCTTGCTTCAGACAATGCGATACGCGATATGCTGGAATTTGTGACAATAACCGACCCGAGATAATAAAAGTCCCATCGCAAGAACGGGAATACAGGATGGCGCTTTTTAAACTGTTTAATCGCCGTGCGCAGTCGTCAAACGTCAAAATTACTTGTTCGTCAATTGTTTTTAAATATAAACAATTCACAGGCGCAAAAGGAAGCTTCGTTGTATTTGTATGATGTGAATTTAATGAATTGTGTTTGCAAATTGAAATTATTGACGTGTTCTTTTGTTTCAGTAGGCCCTTTATTTGGAGGCGGTTTCAACAGCAATGGAACGTACACGTTTTCAGTACCAGGTCTGCCTCCCGCAGCCCACGCACTTGCCAAGACCACCTTCCTCTTCGACCACGGTAAATATTACCCATGCACTGATTCAGTATAATAAGCGTCAGCAATTAACTTCACATTTACGTGGTAATAAATGTTTGAGATTATGTACACCTTACACCTTTTAGAACGCCGATCTACACCGAAAGAAAAAAGTTAGAAACGATAATGACGGTATACATCTAATTTAATGTTAGGAATGTATGTCTATTATTTTTAACTCTGTTTTAAATTGATTTAGACCTACTTGATACTTTTCCAAAACGACAAATCATGTAAAGACGGTTCTTGAGTCCATCAGCTATATCTTGAGAATTGACTTAAATTTTGTTTATCACTGAACGCATCTTCTTATCTTTCTGTTTAATTAGCGACAACAATAACTCTTACATTTACATGGCAATAAAAGAACTATAAAGTGTCAACCTTATGGCGTCTACCTACGAATTTGTAAAAAAATATATGGAATTATGTACTTTTAGAATCTTTATGTTCTTCTGTCTGTAGTGAGAAAATATACACTGGGTGACAAAATTTAGGGAGAACAAAGGCCAATTTCGTAACTGAAATTCTGCATTATGTTTTGGAAAAGGTACCATAAATTCAATGAGCTTATCATTTTCTGTTTTTGAAACAATATAAAAGACATTCGGCACAGGTAAGTTTTGAGGATGTGATATGCTTTAACAAAGTACAAACTAACCGCAGTAAAATTACAGAAAAGTTGCATTACTGAATTGTGAATTTACAACTTAATCGTAAAATGATATTTAAGGTTCATCACCCCAATTTAAAATTGTAAATGAAAAATTACATTATAATTGCAAAGTCACGACAAATGTCAATGTAAATTACAGTAAAATTACATTAAACTTACAGAAAATATATATTCACTGAACAGATTCTCATAACTCAATATCTATGTGTCCTAGAATCGCAATTTAATTGTGAAATTACTGTTTCAATGTAAAATTACATTATGGATCTAACACATATCAGACGACAATGCATGACACCACAGTCCTAAAAAAACATGGACTAAGCTGCAGCACCTCCATTGAGATTGTAAATGATGCAATGGATAAATTCGCAGCAGTGTAAAATTACAACAAATTGCATTAAACTTACAGAAGCTTGCATATTCTCTCTCAACTGGCTTAATCTTCAGCTTTACAGTCAACAATTATTTTAGTGAGTTACTGAATTGTCTGAACTGTGAATTTATAGCTTCATCGTAAAATTACAATTACTACGGAATTAGGCTGTCGCACATGAAACTTTAACTGCAGCAAAACATGGGCTAACTAAGGTTCATCACCCAATTTAACATTGTAAATGAAAAATTACATTACAATTACAAAGTCACGTCAAATTACAGTAAAATTACATTAAACTTACAGAAAATATATATTCACTGAACAGATTCCCATAACTCAATATTTATATGCCCTAACCTTAATTATAGTAAAACATGGGCTAAGGTCAGCACCATAATTTCATATTGTGGATGACGTAATATTACATTATATTTCAAAGTAATAATTGTCGGTGTAAAATTACAAGAAAATTACATTGGACTTCGAAAATTTTCTTTTTAACTCAATATTTATATGCTGTGAATTTACAAATGCATTGTGAAATTACAGTTGCATTGTAAAATTACAGTAGGCACGTAATATCTATTGGACATCCGCACAAGCAATTTCAGTTGTAACAAAATATGGATTAAGCTCCAATTCCTCAATTGTGATTGCAGATGACACAATGTTACTTTGTAATCACATAATCACAGCAATTGTTGGTGTAAAATTACAATAATTTGCATCAAACTTACAGAAAAATGTATGTCCTCTGTACATTTTTATTTTAATTCAGTGTGTATGTAATTGCGTTAAGTGTCTTTTACAATTACATATTACAATTACAACAATTGTCAATGTATTTGTAATTATAAGGAAATTAAGTAATAACTAATAAGGAAACCTAGAAAAAATTTATATCTGCTGTAGATTTTCATTTTAATTCAAAGTCTATATGTTTTGGAATTCCATCCGAGTTGAGAATTTAGTCTTCATACTGTAAATTACAGTTTCACTGTAAAATTACAGATTCACTGTAAAATTACAGATTCACTGTAAAATTATAGTTATTAGTTTTTTCAGATTCTGTTTTTTAAGGCGTATGTCTTATATTATAAAATAAAATTTCGTTTCACATAAAGCTTGTAGTTTTGTTAAAATCGCTGAAACTGTCATGTCTTATTATATTGCTAAGTTGGCAGCGCCAACAACGGCCAATATTAGTAGCTAATTGTTTAAACGTAATTTACAAAATACTGGACAGAACAAAACAATAAAAAAAATTGGAAACGATGATATTTTGATCGTATAAACTATTTTCCTAAATATAAAATGTTAACCCACCTACCTAAATGAACCCTCAGACTGTACCGAGGGTTGCGTTATATTCTTTAAATTGAAAAAATATCTGCGAGTGAAAGGAAACTGCCGCGACCACATTAATTATGCGATCTACTGCCCGTTATTGTCGTAGCCAACTAAGTAAGAGCGCCCTTTTATCTCGTCTTCATGTTTTTATTTTCACGATAAGCGCGAAACGTCCATCTGTTCAATGGCATAACCCTCGCAATCTTAACAACTGCCAGGCGAAACGGGCCACTGTCTCTCCTTTTTATGGTCAAAAATCTCCTCTTAGATCTCTGATGAAATTAAATGCCGGGTTTTAATGTTCATTGGGTGGAAAAAAGTTCATATCGCCCCGCCGTGTGGCGCTTAGCGACAGTCGGCCGAAAAGGGAATTTAATTAAGTAAAATTACAGTGCTTGTACTTTAATTATGTTAGTATCAGAGTTTTTACGGGCGAGCCGGGGGCCTCCCCCCTTTTGCGCGAAGGGGCGCATCGCGTCAGCGATCAAAAGGTGTCGCTCAAAGACTTCGGGAATCCGCCTCGGGTGACGATGCCTACGCTCCGGGAAATCACTGTGCCGGCTCGCGGACTACAATTAAAAAGATAACGACCCGGGTGCAACAATTTAAAAAGCCGATAAAACACTGGGGATAAGGAGCGGCCAAGGAGGGTGCCGGCCTTCAGGACCGTCACAGAAATTTTAGGAGGGGAGGCTCACTTTATTGGAACCTAATCGATCAGAACAGTTCTGGCTCTCTTATTGAAAATTGTGAGGTTTTACATTTTACATTTACAGGTTCATTGTAAATTTACATTAACCACAGAATACGTATATGAAACCTCAGTACAGTAACTGTAAATTACATTATATTACATTATAATTACAGAATCACAGTCATTGTCAATGTAAAATTATATGAACCTTACATGAAAATGTATATCTACTGTAAATTTTTGTTTCCATTCAACATATTGTTTAATTCCAAAAAAATTGTCCGTTGTAAAATTACATTAACCTCGGATTGCGTATTAGACAATCGTGCATGAAGTCTCAACTGTAACAAGACACGGATTAAGGTCGCCCACACCAATTGTGATTGTAAATATTACATTACGATTACAGAGTTATACAACAGTTGTCAGTATAAAATTACATATACACGGAATTATATAAAACCTACTGAAAAATGTACATATACACAAATTTTTTATTTTAATACAATAACTATATTGTAGATCATGTAATATGCGAATCGCAGCAAAATTGCAGGGCAATTACATTACTGTACTGTGAATTTACAGTTTAATCGTAAAATAACAGGTACTACGGAATTAGGTTGACGTGCGTGAAACTTGTAGCAAAACATGGGCTATGGTTCAACACCATAGTTTAATATTGCCGATGAAGCAATATTACATTATATCCGAGAATAACAGTTGTCGGTGTAAAATTACAGGAATTTTACAATAACCTTAAGGAAAAATATGTCCAATGAAAATTTTCTTAACTAGCTTCTATATGCAGAGGAATTTCAATTGAATTGTGAAATTACAGTTTCATTGTAAAATTACAATAACCACGTACATGAAACCTCAATTACAACAGAACATGCAACAAACTCCAGCACTGCAATTGCAGATAACATAATATTACATTATAATTGTAGAGTTACAGCAATTGCAACGTCGTATATGAAGCCTCAGTACAGTAACTGTAAATTACATTATAATTACAGAATCACAGTCATTGTCAGTGTAAAATTATATTAACCTTATAAAAAAATATATATCTACTCTAAATTTTTGTTTTCATTCAACATATTGTTTAATTCCAACAAAATTGTCAGTTTACAGGTCAGTTGTAAAATTACATTAACCTCGAATTGCATATTAGACAATCGTGTATGAAGTCTCAACTGTAACAAGACATGGACTAAGGTCGCCCACACCAATTGTGATTGTACATTGATTGTGATTGTGATTGTTACATTATAATTTCAGTCACAGCAAATGTTAGTGCAAAATTACAAAGAGTTGCTCTAAACTTACAGAAAAATGTATTTCCTCTCTAGATTCATCCATGGTTAAGTTATAAATTATATAATTAAGTAGACACTTAATTATCATCTTAATTCAATGACTATATTATGGAATTCCATCTGATTTGTGAATTTACAGTTTACTGTAAAATTACAGGCTCACTGTAAAATTTCAGTTGCGCTGTAAAATTATAGTAGTCGCGGAATATGTTTTGGACAGTCATGCTTGAAACCTTCACTTAATTGTGGAATTTATCGAATCACAGCAATTGTCAGTGTAAAATTACAGTGAAATAATATTAAATTAAAAAAACGCATAAACCCTGAACAGTTTCATTTCAATGAGGATTACGTTGGTATAATCATATTTACTAAACGTAAAATTACATTTACTAAATGTAAAATTACATTTACTAAACGTAAAATTACATCGAGTGATATTTCTACCATATTTTTCTTTTAAGGGTTAAAATGGACGTGAAGCGGACCTGAACCGACTCCGTCCCGTGGCGTGAGGGCATAACCCGCGCCCCAGACTTTTCGGCCTGCTCCTTAGC